TACAAGTTCTTACTCACTGATAGAAATAGAACGCATATTTCCCGATATGGCGGAAGAAAGATATTTATACCGTTGTACGCGAATAGGCTCCAAGGCAAAGAATCAAATATGAGAAGACCTGAATGTGGAAAATGTAAACACGTGATCAACGGCCTGCAAAAACTATAATACATGGGGGCGATTTTTGTGCATTTTTATGAGATACACCCTGGTCAATTTCCGCAGGAAGTAAAAAATGTTCGAAATTCAAATAAACAAGATGGCCGCCATACAAATTTCTAAGCGGAAACTATTAGAGATAGGTAGGAGGTGCTCGAAGGAATATCATAGAATATCTTTAAAAAATTCAAGATGACGATTTAAAAATGGCGGCCGAAGAAAAACTAGCTTCGATCCGGCTGAAAATTGGCATGTAAGGGTCTTTAGGAGTCCTTAATCATAATTTGGGGCCAAAAGTTTATTTTCGCTATTTTTAATATGGCTGCCATATAAGTGTTTTTTTCATTAAAAATAACTGCCGAAAAAGATTTGTTCTGAATCGGCTGAAAATTGGCATGTGAAGGCCTCTAGGAGTGCTTGATAATAATTTGTGATCAAAATTGGTTTTTCGCCATTTTTGAATATGGCCGCCAAACAAGCGTTTATAACAATTAGCTCTAATTCAACTGAAAATCGGTATGTGGGGTGTCGGTACTCTATAAGTTTTTGGTTATAATTTACGGTCAAAATTTATTTAATTTTTTTTTTCAATACGGCTGCCATACAAACTTGTTTGGTGGTAGATAATTTTTTTTCTTATTCAACTGAAAATGGTATGGCTTCAATCATAATTTCGGGTAAAAATTTTGTTTCCGCCGTTTTTCGATATAACCGTAATTTTTTATCTAAATAGCTGTTGAAAATACTTGCTTTGCTTGGCCCGAAAATTGGCACGAAAAGAATTCCAAGATTGTTTAGTAAAAAACATATTTGTGCATTTTTTAAATATGTTCGCTATTAGTTATTTAATTTTTTAAAACAAAGTGATAAGTGCCGAGGCCGTAGGCCAAGGTCCACGGAGGGCGAAGCCCGAAGCGTATGCACGCTATCGCGATGGAGATAATACACGGAGGCGTAATAGTTTACGAGTATAAGATCTCACAATTGTAAAAATGTAAGGCATACTTCCCAATGTAGTGGAAATGAGGTACTTATTATAGCGTTGTTGTATCTCGATCGTCTCTCCGTTAGATTCCATTTTCTTGAAAGCTATGCCAAAGAGAAGTATATAGGGGGAAAAAATGCCAAACTGCTGCCGAATTTCCTGTTCTATGAATATCGAAACAACGATAACCCAAAATACTCAGACCAAAGCCAACTTAGAAATTTAATGTTTGTTTCTTAAATTGGCCCAAATCGGGAATCGAACTCCTCATCAGGCGCCCGCAGTACTAACTGCTGTGCCATCGAGGAGCTTGAGCACACTCCGTAAACTGAACCCGACCCCGCGCCGAAGGCCGAGCCCGGTGGGGTACAGGGCTCGTAAAGAATATTCATTCAAGTTATTCGTATGATGTCGCCGTATGTTAGATTCCTTGAAACTATCTTACCTGGTTGATAGCTTAGCATGTTCAACTTAAACGTAGCATCAGAAAGCGACGGTGGTGGTGGAGTGCCATCTGCACGTTCTAAAATAAAATAGTACAACTTAATATATTTTTATTTTAGCCTTTTTCCATGTAATTATTTATAGTTATAATTGAACTTACGTTGGTTATTATTATAAACAGGCGTGGTTCCGATAAGCGCAGCCTCGAACAACCACTCTCCGAACAGATGGAAGATCGAGTTCACTTTGGGGCGTAACGGTGTTAATGGTGGTTTCTCAGCTTCGCCCACTGAAGAATTATTATGATTTGGTTACTACACTTCGTCGGTGTTTTGTAGAAAGTGCGAAAGCGCCATTTCATTTTTTTTTTAGGGGAGCATGTTTTAGGTTTTAACGACTAAAAATATGTACGTCCTGTTTAAAAATTCAGTTTTGGTTAAAATAAGTTTATGTTTTAAAATTGAATATGAAACAGGACGTAAATATTTTAAAACGGTAGTGAAAAACTAAAATATGGGCCCCTGAAAATGTTTTTGAACTAGCGCTTTCGCCCTTTTTTTTATAAAACATCGACGATATATTCTTACTTCTTTTTTGTTCCATTAAATGTATCGATGAGTGTATTTTACATAATTATGTCGTACTAAGATATATGTCTTTATAGGGCCGTGGGAAAGTATTTTAGTTAGAGAGCCGATTTTACTGATTATGTATAAGGGCCCGATTTATATTTTAAGACTTTCGTGGTTATTCTTTAGTTACTTACCATGGTATGATTTTTTGATTGAAGAGATAATTGCTTAGGTCCTAACCTACTACTCACATCCTTTTGAGAGCATGTTCGTTCAGTTAAACAAAAAATAATTTTTGTTTCGTAGTAAATGATTACACCTATTCGAAGTAAATGTATTAAAAAGCCGTTATTGACTTTCATTTAATATACCTTAAAACGGGTTGTTTATATGAATAAATTAGCTGACTAATTAAGATATTATATTGTACAGGCGTCAAATAGTTGGCGTACAAAGTCAGGACATCTACACCTTACCTTGAGAAGTAATGGAGTTAGGCGGCGTAGTTGGAGCCACACTTGACGGCCTACTCGTTAGACCAATGAGAGACGTACGTGGTGTACCTGTGTGTATGGTTACAAGCTTAGCATAGGTGTTACGTTTATTTTGTTTGATCATTATTTTATTTGATTATTAAAACTCTTAGCAGAGACGGAAAGCTTTGTTTATTCTATTTTGCAGTCTATGGTACACTCGTAATCGATACGAGAATGATATACATAAATTAAAATAATGCACCTAATTGTAAAAGTAAAATAATTATGATTCGTTTGGTTATGGTTGCAAAGATGTTTCAAATTAAGCAGCCTAAGTATAACGTACTATAATTTCGTAAAGCAAGCAAATGTTTCCAGAATTTCATGGGACATAAAATGGGATGAAATTTGTAATATCAATTCATATTCAATTATTTTTTCGTGAAATTACTCCTACTACTACTAGTTTGTTATCATTATTAATAGTTATAAAAATGGAACATTTAGAAAAAATTCCTTCCATCCGAACCAACGTCTTCTAGCAAAGCGTGTCAGACGCTATGCCAACTAAGCCACGGAACGAACCAGTGGACCTCATGAATTTTTCTATGTCTACTTGGTAGTCAGATCTTTGTATTTGGTTTTTCAACGACTTTTTTTAGAGATGTCGCTAGTAACTTTAAGTAAATTTGTATTGAATTGATATTCAATAATTTTTTTGTGAAATTACTCCACTGGTTTGTTATAATTATTAATACAAAGATCGAACGTTAAGAATAAATTCTTTCGATCTGGCCGGATTCCAACCGGCGTCTTCTAGCAAACCGTTACAGACGCTATGCCAACTAAGCCACGTAACGAACCATAAAATGGGATTATTGAATTGTGAATTATGTTATAATGTCTATAATCTACAAGGAAAACCCAAACTAAAATCACTACGTACATCACTACAGAAAAAAATAAAAATTCCAGGGTAATAAAATACATGCTTGTAAGTAAAATATTTAAGACATTCCGCTTTAATAGCATGACTGCAAAACAAAAAATGTCCAAATTATATACCAGTGGTAAGATTGTTAGATTCACCATCTTTCTACAGACAAAACTCTTATTAAGTTCATAGATTTTTCGTTATAGAGTTTCACGCGCAGAAAGATAGTGATTTTCTTACCATAGCTATATAAATTAGAGACTTTTTGTGGAAAATGTCACTTATGTGGTTTTGCCTTTAAACAGACGATATCTAAAAACAAAGATCGTAAGATTTTAATTACAAAAAAATAATAATAAGACAACCTGATTTATATGTACAGTTAATAAAAGTCATGCTACCATACAGACTTCTGCATATATTTGCCGCTACACCTTGTCGTAGCCAATAATCAGTCAAGTGCAAAAATAGTAGTGAACAAGATTATCCCATTAGGAAGCATTCATATTCCATAGTCAGTCGAAGTGTATGAGTAGACTTCAAGTATGCAAAGAATTATTTATTTGTCTTTGTCTTTTTTCTTTGGTCCAGGTAAAATTTTAAGAAGTAATTGTAGTCATGAAAGCAAAGCCAAAGCACAATTTTCTTATGACGACCTCGGCCAATTTGCAAAAAAAAATCAGTT